CTCAGCATTTATAAGGAAGGCAGAAGCAAGTGGATCTGAGTTTAAGGCCAGCCTGGTCTGCAGTGAGTTTCAGGCTAGCCAGGACTACATAGTGAGACCCTATCTTTAAAAATAATAATAACAAAAAAAAGCTTATTTTATTTGCATAACTTATAACTAGATGAGATTCAATCATTACAGTTTAGGATGGATTTATTCAAAATGGACACCAAAGCTCATAAGTCACACAAAAAAACTAAGCACCATACTCTGTACAGATGCTGAGACACAAAGAAGGAAAACTTCAGTTTTGGCATACACCCCACTAAATACATTACTGAAACAAAACAAAACCCACACACTTGCCTTTACTGTGATGACACCCTTTCTTCCAACCTTTTTCATTGCATCAGAAATGATGTTTCCAATTTCTTTGTCTCCATTTGCAGAAATTGTAGCAACCTACAATAACCAAGTTACTCATCAAAAACTAAATGGTTACATTAGTCCTCTCAATCTCTTTCCCCCAGTAACTTCTAAATTGGTACTTCCACCCAGCAGAGAGGACAATTAAGTTTTGATGAATGGTCCATGGAGCTATATCCTTAGTCCCCCATTCTTTTTCATTTTACTATCTGGTGACCCAATGATCTATTAAAGATCCAACTCGTATCACTACGTTTTCTTTATCTTTTAGCTTTAAGGATAAAATGCATCTAAGGCTAGTTTGGGCAGTGTTACTCGACAATGGCCTGTGATCACGAAATGAAATTCTTACCTGAGCAATTTCTTCAGGCGTTGTAACAGGTTTAGACTGCTTTTTAAGTTCAGCAATTACGGCATCAACAGCCAACATCACACCTAGTTCAAGAATGTTATGTCAATACAATTCTATTCTCACAGCTTCTATGCCAAGTATAAATTTCCAGATTCACAAGAAATATTTTAATATTTTGTGTGACTATTTTTTTCTAACTACATGAAGTCATACACAGGCACTCAAACAGTAACATTCAAATTCACAATGAATTCCTAAAATAGCAAGTTTTTGAAAACTGGACCAACCTAATGAATGTGGTGGTTCACACCTGCAATATAAGCACTCAAGAGGTTAAGGCAAGAGAACTGCCACAAAGTCAGGAGAACTGGTGGGCTACATAGGTTTCTAAGCCAGCTAGAGGCTACTGCCTCAAAATGAAAAACAAAACTGGAAGAAAAGATGCGCATAATTTCAAAAATCTCACTATCCAATTCCTATTCTAATCATGCTGCCTGTTCCAGTATGGCCACTAACATTCTTCTGTCTACTAATGAGACAAGTACCAAGAAGGCTCAGTAGGTAAAGGTACTTGCTATGCAAGCCCAAAGGCCTGAGTTCATAGAACCACACAGGTGAAAGGAGAAAGGACTCCAAAGTTGTCCTTTGCCCTCCATATCCATACCCACACTAGTATTTAAATTTAAAACAGAACAAAATGGGGTTGGGGAGCAGCTGTAAGTAATGTGTTTGTCACCAAGCCTGATGCCCTGAGTTCAATTTGGCCTGGTAGAACAAACAAACTAAATATTGTGATTTGTTCCACACGTGCACTGTGGCATATCAAGCACATGTGTACTCAATGAATGGACACACAATGTAACTAAAAAATGAGACAATCATTCAACAAGAAGACTTCTTAGAAGTAGCAATTTATTTCTGTAGTATCCATGACATGACACTCTTACCTCTCCTGATTTCCACTGGATTAGCACCTTTGCTGATCTTCTCAAAGCCCTCCTTGGCAATAGATCGTGCCAGAACAGTAGCAGTGGTAGTGCCATCCCCAGCCTCTTCATTGGTGTTATTGGCAACATCTTGAACAAGTTTAGCTCCAATATTTTTGTATTTATCTTTTAAGTCAATTGACTTCGCAACAGTCACACCATCTTTTGTTACTTTGGGACTTCCCCAGCTCTGTTCAATAATAACTGTTCTTCCCTACAGTGACAGAATAAAAAGAACAGTCTTCAATACAAGGCCACTACCTAAAATTCTTGATAAAGTCCCATCATTTTTACGGTCTTGCTACATGAATCTCACGGCCAAGTTCATCAACACTCAAGTCTACAGACAAAATAATGTCTGCTCCTTTGCCAGGGACTTAACTTTGAATGAGGTCCAATGTGATAAAAACCCTAAGCACGAACAGATGTCACATTATAATACAAAAGCACAGATGACAACTACAAAAAAAAAAAAAAAAAAAAAGCACAGAACATACTTCACATCATTTGCACTTTGGGTTAGTAAACGATATCTTTCAAATACATATTAACATTCACTAAAGTACTAGCCATTACAGTGAGAACAGAGCTCTGTTCACTTAACAGAAATTTCAAATACAGCAGCAACAGCATTAGAAATTTTGGATTTGAACCAAGCTGCTTTCTATGCTTGAGCTCTGTAAACAACATTTTATGCAGCTCTTTAGATCACTTTATCAATTTGAAATAAAAATTTCACTTCACTGTGGACCATAGTGACATCCTCAAAATAGTACTGCTCCCTCCCTAGGAAAGGACATCTGAAAAATTTAAATATGTGGTTTGGTTCCAGCACTCAGGAATAAAGGCAGGTGGATCTCTTGGAGTTCAAGGTCAGTCAGGACTGTATAGTCTCAAAAAAAAAACTAATGGTATGCCAGATGAGGTAGTATACTAATAATTCCATGCACTTAGGAGGTAGAGGCAGGAGGATCAAGAGTTCAAGACCAAAGACCAGTTTTGCTACAGAGGGAGGAGACCAGACTGGGCTATAGTGAGATTGTCTTAAAAAAGAAACCAACACAGGGCAGCAGTTAAGAACACTGATCTTGCCGAAGACCCAGGTTCGAATCCCAGCACCCACATGGCAGCTAACAACTGTTCCTAACTCCAGTTCCGGGGGATCCGACAGCCTCTCCTGTCTTCCTCACAAACTGCACAACATGGGTGGCACTTACCTACATGTATACACATTTAAAAAAAAAAAAAAAAAAAAGGGCAACACAAAGCTTTAGAACAGGAAAAACAGGGTAAAATGGAAAAATGGGAAGCCATTCAGAGTTTTCCAAGTGCAGATGAAAACACATTCTCGAGATGGGTGATGGCTGCAGGACAATGTAAATATCCTAATGCCAGGCCAAGTGCACACTTAAAATAACTATGCTATGCACTTACTATATGTATACAGCAAGTATATTTCAGTACAATAAACAAAACCTTGCACCTACAAATACATACTTTGAGGTATTATTGGATTTCAGCTACACTTTCCTCTATATCCTCTACTGGGAAAGGATCCAAAATTTAATTCACGTAGGTACAAAAGATTAATTATACCTCAAGTTTGAAAGTCCTCCTTTAACTATGCATTTACTATTCTATTACACCACAGTGTACAGTTCCAAAAATCTGGTGAAGCCATTTTAAGGCATTGTCTCAAGAAAAACCAAAACACTCCCACCCCCTCAACCTGGAAATTGAGTTGTCACAGAAACTAATAAAGTACTGTTCCATAGTTATATCTAATATACAGCAACAAAACGTTATTCTTTAATTAATACGATTAAAGTATATCGATACCTTTGGCCCCATTGTAACGGCTACTGCATCGGCTAAAAGGTCTACACCTTGAAGCATTAAGGCTCGGGCATCCGCACCAAATTTTACATCTTTGGCATAAGCCCGAGTGAAATGAGGAGCCAGGGCCCGGGCCACTGGTCTCATCTGGCGAAGGACTGTGGATAGTCGAAGCATTTCTAGGGGAGAAAAAAAGCAGATGATTAGTGAAGGACAAACACGTCAGAGAACATCGGCTAGATGGGAGCCTAGGGGACCTGGGCCACACAAAGCGCTGCAACTTCACCGTCAGCACCTAGGGCCAAGTTAACTAGGCCGCCCCCACGCCTGACCTATAGCACTAGCAGAAAGCACCCGAAACCACTTCCTTGTGGCCCCGCATCGCGGCTACTGGGAACGAGTTAATATTTCACCGCCAAAATGGCCTTGAGAGCAGACCCGCTCCGAAAAGGGTCTCAAAAAATAAAAATAAAAAAAATAACGCTAGCGGAAGCGAGACTGGTCCCAAATCCGAGCGCCCAGGGAAATGCACATTCTCCTGACAGTATCTCCACCGCGGGCTACAGTTAACAGAGTAGCTGGGGAGGCCGCGATGCGGGACCTGGGGCTTAGTCCACCTGAGCGGCCTCACAGGTCTTCCCAACTAGACGCCCCGAGCAAGGTCAAAGTGGAGGCGCGGCGCACCCGCGGCCGATGAGGCGGAAAGCAGGCGCACGACCCCGGTCCGCGAGCCCTGCAGTGCGCACGGCGAGGGGAGCATCCGCAAGCCCGAGTGGCCCAGCCTCCATCCCTCCCCACGCCAGCCCGCCCTCGCCGCACGTGATTGACCACTCGCATGGCCCCACTGGGCCTGGACGTGCGAGCTGGGCCTGTGGTCCTAGCCCGGACTCCCGCTAGCCCGGGTGTGGGGGGGGACACGCCGAAGCAGGCCGCGCCACTGTGGCGAGCGCCTGGATGCGGTGCATGCGGCGACCGCATACCTGCGGGGCGTCGGCAGGAGCGCACGCGGCGAGGCAGGCCGTCAGCAGCAAGTGAGGGACAGAGCACACGGCGCGCACGGCAATGAGCCAGTGTCTCCTCCCTTCACGTCCCCGCCCCGCAGCCCCGCGTGTGCGCGCGCCCCACCCCTTCCCGCACCGCACCCGGCAATCTGCATGTGGCGCGCGCGGCCCCGCCTTCCCTACCCGAGTAAGCCGGGGCCCGAGGACTCAGCGCTCTCCCACCTCCCTACGCTAGTTCCAGGGCCGCGCCCCGTTCCAGAACCTTCCGGAAGGCGCCGCGCTTCCCTCGGGTCAAAGGTGAGATTGCGTCATTTCCGGGAGAGGGGTCGGACGGTTCGTTCTTTCACCTCTGCAGGCTGCCTGGAAAAGCCTAGAAACTGCTCCTCTTTTCTTCCGCCTCCGGCCACCCGCATCGGGGCTTGCGTAGAGTCCCCTCCACCAATCGGCGTGCGCGCTGGCATGGCCGCCCTCTCTCACGCGGGGGGGCGGGAGCGCGGCCGTTTGAGCGCGCCTGCGCGCTCGCTGCCTTTTCACGTGTCCCTGGGTCGGACTACAGGTCTCTCCTTGCAGCGGCGGCGCGAGAGTAGAGTCCGGGCAGCGGCGGCCAGAGTCATGGTGAGTCCCGTGTTGCGGGGCGGCCTGTGGGTCTTGGGCGGTCTGCGGCCTATGAGCACCCCGGTGGCCCTCTTTTGTTTGTGGCAGGAGGCGAAGGGGACCTCCTGGTACGCAGTGTCCCTGCAGAACCCAGCTAGGCCTATTCGACCCTTTCCTCCGTGCACATGTGCTGCAGGAGTCTGGAACCGGGGCGGGGCGGGAACCTGGATGCAGGCTCTGCAGCCCACCTGCCCCTGCAACGACTTTGGTGGGAATGTGATATTCTGGAGAAGGAACATGGCCTCAGGCGTAGAAATTGACCACCGGTGTTACCGAAATTTTCTGAAAAACTGGTGGAAGGAAAATGGTTGACCTTGGAGTAAACCAAGGTTGCACTTAAAAATGGTGTGATTGTTGATAAGTAACGAGGACCACAACAGGCAAGGGAAACTGGCTTGTAAAGTGGAGCGTTCAAATGCATTTCCTAAACGGGCAATGAAAATATTTTTGGATGGTTGGAATCCTTGAGGTTAAGACTTGCAGCGGGAATAGTAATTACAGAGTGCTTGAACTCTTAACATCTCTCTCCACAGGCTGGACAAGCATTTAGAAAGTTTATTCCGCTGTTTGACAGAGTATTGGTTGAAAGGAGTGCAGCTGAAACTGTCACCAAAGGTGGCATTATGCTTCCAGAAAAATCTCAAGGAAAAGTATTACAAGCAACAGTAGTAGCTGTGGGATCAGGCTCTAAAGGAAAGGTAATTTGAACCTCACTTTAAGGAAAATAGTTGCTTTTTAAACAAAACCACTTTTTTAAAGGAACTTCATTACAAGCAGAAAGCACACACTTGAGTATCTTTTTTTCTGAATCTGTGCACAGGTCTGAATGCAGGCTTGCAGTCACTAAAGGACTCCACACCTTCCTCCTTTGAAACAGGGCTTCTCACTGAACCCAGTGCTAGTCTGGCACTTGCCACAGTGCTGGGGTTACAAGCACGTGCCGTTCTAGGCTTTTTACACTGGAGGGTTGTGATTCCCACCTCAGGTCCCCATAGCCATCTCTCCCATTCTTAAGAGATTTTTAAGTGCCTGGTAGGGTGGCTCTTGGCTGTTACAGTCCCAGCATTTTGGAGGCCAGGTCAGGTGTATTGTGGTGAATTTAGCCCAGCCTAGGCCTGTATAATAGAATGACACCATGTCTCAAAAACTAAGTTATCCTCAGTAACAATTTTGTAGCCTAATCTCCAAATTTTAAGTTGATTAAACAAAAGGTCATGCTGTTAGGTAAACCTTGGAGCCTTTTCCGAACTGAGGGAAGCATGATTTAAAGGAAGACAACTGTAATCCCAGCAGTGGGGAGGCTGAGGCAGAAGGATCCAGGGTTAGAGGCCAGCCAGTTAAAAAAAAACTTTTTTTTTTTTTAAGGGAAATGAGTGTTTGGAGAGTTGGCTTAGTGGTTAAGAGTGTATGGTATTAGGGCTAGAGAGATGGCTCAGCAGTTAAGAGCACTGACTGCTCTTGCAGAGGAACTGGGTTCAATTCCCAGCACCTGCATGACAGCTACAAACCATTCTTAACTCCAGTTCCAGGGGAATCTGAAGCCCTCTTACTTCCGTGGCATTGCACGGCATGGGTGCACTCACATGCAGGCAACACACTCATACAGGTAAAAGAAAAAACCAGGCGTGGTGGCACACGCCTGTAATCCCAGCACTTGGGAGACAGGTGGATCTCTGAGTTCAAGGCCAGCCTGGTCTCCATAGTGAGTTCCAGGACAGCTGGGGCTACAGGGAGACCCTGCTTCAAAAAGACAAAAAAAAATTACAAGCAGAAAGTACACACTTGAGGATCTTTTTTTCTTATACTATTCTTGTAGAGGATTTGGGTTTGATTCCCAGCACCCTGGCAGGCAGCTCACAACGGCTGTAACTCCAGCTCCAGTGAGATTCCATTGGCCACATGCAGACACACATAAATAATATTTTTAGAGTGAAATGAAGAGGAATTTAGAGAGCTGTTGGTTTAGCTTCTAGCACTGAAATTGTTCCAGCTCTGTAACATTGAGAGCGCTAGTTGTCATATGTGTGAGGAGCAGAGGGTACCTCCATTGGTGTTCTCTAACCCCAGGCCTTGAAAGGAGCATTGGGAGTGGGTATTCTGCTTCCATGTCTTTATCCAAATCTAACACTTGAATCAAGACAAGGCTGTGAAAATCAAAGAAAATGTGTGTGCTAAGTACAGAAACATTTTTGTTTCTTGAAAGAAGTCGTACATGAACATTTTGTGTCTGTTTAAAAGCTGCTTTATTTTACCTGGTCTACAGACTGTTAATATTTAACAATTAAAAGTTAGCTTTGGTTAGCAAATGTTAGCTTTTCCAGGATAACTTGTTTTCACACTGAAAGGGGGCTTTAGTTTAAGCTACTGATTATTTCACATGGAACTCTACAGTGATATTGTGAAAATCTACATTTAGTATAAATTATATAGCTTAATCATTAATTAGGTACATAATAATAATCTGGATTTGAGTGAGCACGTTCCATTAATGTAGTGAGTTATGGTTGTAGTAAGCCTGTAATTCTAGCACTTAGGACACTGAGGTAAGAGGCTCCTGAGTCAAGGCTCCAGAGGTACATAGACCAGAAAGAAAAGTGAGCTGTGTATCTAATGACCTTTGCTAATAAACAACTTTTTTCTTAAGGGTGGAGAGATTCAACCAGTTAGTGTGAAAGTTGGAGACAAAGTTCTTCTCCCAGAGTACGGGGGCACCAAAGTAGTTATAGACGACAAGGTATGTGAAACAGAATTCTAAAAAGAAAGAAGTTAACTTTTGCTTTTATTATCCTAACTAATGGGTTCTTTATTTGCAGGATTATTTCTTATTTAGAGACGGTGACATTCTTGGGAAGTATGTAGACTGAAAGCACTGTTGAAATGGCATCACACAAAGCTGTCCATTCCACTGAAGCGCTGAAATATTTCATCATGTAAATAATTTGCGTGTCTCCCTTTTATAATAAACTGATATCCAAACTGATGACATCTGTTATCTGTGAAGTCTAGTTTCCCTGTACTGGTATGAACATTTCCAAATAAAATAATGTAAATGAATGGATAGTCTTTATTTTGTAATTTAAGGTAGTTTTATTTCATCCTTCAAGTAAGCTGCAGAGATTTCTAAGAAACAAGGTTTTTCTAGGTATATGAATTTTTGTAGCATGATTTTATTACATAGATCAGTGATACTGATACAAAGCCATGGATTTATACTATTATACAATGTGGGAGGGTTGTGTTAGAAAATTTTACCTCCTGAATAAACGTTCCAGTCTCAAAAACTTAACCATTTGATTGTCTGGAAAAATTCCAGCGTAGGATAGTTGTCAGTAAATTGAGTACTATTTTTCAGAGTTGGTGCTGTGTGGTAGTAATTGCTAAGTGTTCTGTTATAAATTGATTTACTTTAGTAATCCTATTAACTAGGTGCTGTTCTCATCTTGTAAGTGAAGCTGAGGGTTAATGGTTAGGTCACTCCATGGGAAGGGTCAAAGTCAGGATTTTTACATAGGCAGTCTACTTTGGGTGCGTAGTGTAGTAAATGCAGTTGATTTCAATCATGTTACCCTTCCATAAGATAGTATGTGCTTTTAATATGCATGTATATACATTGATACATTTTAGTGCCTTTGATATGCCAAGACTTAATTTTTGTCAAATTTAGATGAAAGGACTCTGAAAGTTTGTAGAGCACGCAAGTAGATCATCACTCTCACATTCTGCCTCAGGCATAGCTAATTACTGTTTGCACATCATAACCTTGTGAGCACAATTTCTTTTGAGACAAGGTTTCACTATATATCTCTGGCTGGTCTAGAACTCAACCAAGATCCTCATGCCTCTGCCTCCTCCTTTGTGCTGGGATTAAAGGCATGGTCTCACTAGCTCTGGCCTGGAACTTGCTATATAGACCTTGTACTCTCAGAGAGAGTGCTGGGATTAGAGGTGTGTGCCACCCATGCCGAGCTTCCTTTTCTTTTACCATTTAGAATTTTACTTGTCTTTCTCTGTAATTATTTGCCTTTTGGACAAAAGATAAGCAGCAACCTCCTGATCTGAAACACTATTCCACATTCTCTATGCCCTTTAAGACAGTTTCACTGTGTAGACCCCATGGATCTCAAACTCACTGCAGTAATCCTGTCTCAGCCTCTTACTTGCTGGAATTACAGGTGTTAGCCCCACTAAATTATGACAAAGTTTCCTGTATACAGGCCAGGTGTGGTGGCACACACGTTTGATCCCAGCAGAGGCAGGGATCAGAGAGGAGGCAGAGGCAGGTGGAGCTTTGTGAGTTTGAGGCTAGCTTGGTCTACATAGTGAATTTCAGGACAGCTAAGGCTACAAAAAGACAAAAGTTTCCTGTATGCTATCAATATAATTTCATAAAATTGTTTCTTTAGCAATTATACTAGTCAAACATCACAGTAGGACCAAAGCTTTCATTTGGTGTGGAAGGGATCTTAGAGGTTTTATTTATTTTTATTTTTGAGACAGGGTCTCTCTGTAGCCCCAGCTGTCCTGGAACTCACTATATAGACCAGGCTGGCCTTGAACTCAGAGACACAGAGATCCGCCTACCTCTGCCTCCTGAGTGCTGGGATTAAAGGTATGTGCCACCATGCCCGGCCTAGGGATCTTAGAGTTTTTAAGTATATTGGATAATTGTAAGAATGAAAACAGTTTGAGAACTGTTACCTCAGATCTCAACATTCATTTTCTTGTAAAATAATAGCATTGGAAAATAGGGAAGCCTTGACCTTTAGGCTGGGCATATGCTGTAGTTACCAAGGCCTTGAGCTAGTTTTCTGAATCATTTTCTTTGTTCTTTGTGATAAACTTTTCGAGTTTGTCACTTCCATTTGTGTGTATGTACGTGAGCCAAAAGATAACAGATGTTCTGCTCTAAGTTATTCTACCTTGTTTCTTTGAGATGGTCTCACTGAACCTGGAGCAAGGCTGACAGCAAGCTCCAGCAATCCTGACCACACACCCCCACCCCCCACCCCCACTAAACTGGCAGTAATGGTGGTGTGCCTGCAAGCCCAGCTTTTTTATGTAGGAATTTAATTGATCTTGCATAGCAGGTACTATTACTCATTTCTCCAACTACTGTTTCTGTAAGGCAGGGGCTTAACTCTAGTTCAGGTTAACCTCAGACTCCTACCAAATGCTGGGATTATAGGTGTGATTCATAATGCCTGGCTAACTTTGATTTTCTTTCTTTGCCTAATACATGTTGGGCATTCACTCTACCACTAAACTATACCTCCAGATCCTGTTTTGTTTTCAAGACAAAGGCTCATGTAGCCCCAAGCTGGCCTCAAATACGCTCTGTAGCTGAGGATGACCTTGAATTTATGATACTCCCTCTTACACCTCCTAAATGCTGGGATTGGATTATAGGTGTATGTTAACATGTCTGTTTTTAAGTGGTGGGGGGCATCAGTTCCTGGGCATTGTCCTGCCAAGCAAGCACTCTACCACCTGAAGTATATCCCTAACCTTGTTTTTTGAGAATAAGTGTCATATAGCCCAGGCTAGTCTTGAACTCCTCACCCTCTGCCTCTACCTCCGAAATGCTGGAATTCCAGGTGTGTACCACCTTGTCCAGCTTCGGATCCTTTTTGAAATTTTCAAATGCTCTTACAAAATTTCGTAGGCTGATCTCAAACTTGTCCTACTGCTCAACCTCCTG